TCAGGCCGTTGCTCTGCAGGCACAGGGGGCCCGGCACCCAACAAGGGGCTCACAGTGTCTGTCCAGCTCTCCTGAGCCTGGGATTCCACCTCCCTTTGGGCAGGAGCTGAAGGCACAGCATTAAATCCAGTGGGGTCCCTGGATCCATGTCCCTGTTGGTGTATATGTGTGTATGGACACGGGTCTGGCTGTCCTGTGCATCCTGACTTTGTCCCTGCTGTTGTTGGGGACAAACCTCCTCTCCTGCCCTCGTTGCCCAGGTCTCTGGCAGTGTATAAGGGTGGGGGGCTGGCTGGGCTTCTCCCCACCCCCCTCCCAGGCTCCAGGAGAGGGTTAACACGAGCACTCCAGCATTTTCCTTCTCCAACTTGGTAGCGAGGCAGAACGTGGGGATCTCTGGGCTCTGCTCGGGTCCCAGCCCCCGAGCCCGGCTGGAGGAGCCGGCGCTTCCAGGCAAATTGCCCTTTGGCAGCCAAACCCCCGGCATGTGCCAGCTCTGCACTGCTTCAGCTCTCACCGAGCCCAGGGCGCTCCTGCACCCCCTCCCCTCGAGACACCCCAGCTCTGGGTAAGCTCTGCTGGCGACAGCAGCCCCGACCTGTCCCACCCCGCTCCCCCCACCACGAAGCGACAGCAAACCCGGGCCAAGCAAACCCTTCCTGCCCCTTCCCTCCCCTACCGGGGTATTTTTCCCTTCCTTGGCAGTGCTGCTCTCGTGCAGGAGGCTGAGAGGTGCCAGATGGCTCAAAGCCACCTTGCAGAGCTGTTGTGACACCACACCTTGGTCCCAGTCCTGTAGGACACACAGGATCCAGACTGGGGGCTTGTGCCAGCACAGGCACTGGATTTTTCATTCAGCAGATGCTCACGCTTCTGGCAGGTTCAGGATTAAAGAGATCAGCTCTGGCCAGAGACTGTGGGACACCAAGGAGTGGAAAAAAGTGATGCTGCTGGGCCTCTGGCCTCAAGTTGGTTTTTGGGGAAGGGTGAAAGTGAGGAGAGGAGCTGGTGGACCCGAAATGTTAATTCCTTCCAGCTGTTGTCAGTCTGGCGGGTTCTCAAAGGAAGTTTAATAGACTGCAGTCGTCTCCCCTCGGCCCGTCCCCCATCCAGCAGAACCTGGGATTACATGAGCTGCTCTGTATTCCAAAGTCCTGGTTTTATTTTTTTCCCTTTGGCTCTGGAAGTGTTTTCTTTGGTGTGTGAGTGCGTGTGTGTGTGTGTGTGCACACGTGTGTGATGCCTTTCCCTCATCTTCCTGCTAAACCTGCCCCTTGGATTGCTGGGAATTAGAGGGGACTGTTGGGGCTGCACAGGGATGGGGTAGGAGCAGGAGTGGGAGCAGAAGTGGGGGCTGCAGCAACTGGGAGGAGGAGGAGGAGGAGGAGGAGGAGGAAATGGCTTTGTGGGCCTCCTTGCTGGAGCGCACCCCAGTCTGCCGTGTGAACCGGGAGGAAACAGGATGGAGAAAGTATTTGGAGTGGAAAATAAAAACCCTCTCTTGCTTTATTGATCGTGATTGAGGACAGAAATAGCCCAGGCTGCTGAAAGCCGTCCCCAGTGAAGGAGCAGCCAAGTGCTGGACGTGGGGCTCATCCCGTGAGCACCATCCAGCTCCTGCAGCACTGGGATGGGCCAGCCCTGAAACCCGAGGGTTCCTCACCTGCCTGCCACGGCTCCTGCAGACTTTCCAAGCTTTGAGTGGCACATCTTGCTCTGCACTGGCTGCAGCCCTGGCAGCCCATTAGCAATTAGACAATGAGCTCCCATCATGAACACCCCCAGTGTGCCATCCATAATGAATCACCAGCAGGGGAATATGGGAGAAGGAAACACTGCTGGCCAGCTGGGATCAGGCTCTGACCATCCTGGGGAACAGCCCTGTGGCACTGGGGGGACCCTGCACCGAGTGCCTGAAACACAGCGAGGCTAATTTAGGTGACTGGATCTTTTAAGGAATTTTAGCCCATTTCACTGAATTGTTTCACCTAAGACAGCAAACATGGGGCCAGCCAGGCTGGGGAAGGCAGGCAGGGAACCCCAGGGTGCCCAGGAAAGCCCAGCCTGCAGGGCCAGCATGTGCATGGGCACAGTGGTCCAGCCCCAGCTCTGAGAGAACCGTAAAAACCAAGTGCTGGCAGGAGAGTAATTAGTTAAACCAGAGCACATCTGTTGTTAATTAATTCCCAGGCAGGAGAGTTTAACTCTTGCCTTCCCTGATGTTTTGCAACCTGGATGGCACACGTCAGCTTGCATTAAAGGAGGGCTTCCACTTGGCTTTTCAAGCCCTTTCAGGGACTTGAGTTGCTCTGGTCCATCATTCCCTGCTCTGATCCATCATTCCCACATCCCAGGACCATCCCTGTGATTTTCAGGAGCACCTGGGACACGAGCAGAGCAACCAGCACTGCTCAGGGCAGTGGATGTGCCTCAGGTTTGGGGTCAGGGCTGAAATAAATCTGTCTTTGCCCCTTCCAACACCCAGCCCTGAAGAGCTGATGGAGAAGGTGGGACCTCTCTCAGGGTGGGTTTGCAGAGCAGCACTGCAGCGCTGAGCAGAGTTTTTGGGTAGCCCTGCACTGCTTACTGCTCTTTATTTGCATTTTTTCAGTGCAGCAGCTCTCACTGCAGTACATTCGTAGGCGTGAGCATCACATCCATCGGGCAGAACATCACATCCATCGAGCAGAACATCACATCCATCGAGCAGAACATCATCTCTGCGACGAGCCCGGCTCTGCCCCCCACCCCCTGCTCGGGACAGGGACCTGGACCCTTGGGAGCAGCATTAGAAGGGCTGGGCAGCAGGGGGGCAGCTGAGTGCTTGGAGTGTACAGGGTGTGTGAGACCCCCAACCCACGTGGGACACCAGCAGGGCCAGCCCGCAGGGCCCTCCCACACCAGGGGAATCTGTTCCCCATTAAGCGACTCCGGCAGTGCCGTGGCTGGTGGGAGCAGCCCTGCCAGCCCCAACTTCCCTAATTAGCAGCACAAGTGAGGCCAGGCTGGGGAAGGCCAGCGCCTCCATCCCTCCTTGCCAAGGATGCAAACAGTTTGGAGCAGAGCCTCAGCCAGAGCCCGTGGAAAAGCTCCCACCGACCCTGCGAGTGCTGCATGGGGCCCCGATCCTGTCCACCCTGGGGTGGGCAGTGATGTGCATCCCATCCCCTGGCCCCTCACTCCTTTAGTGAGGGATAAAGCCTCAGTCCAGCACGCCAAGCCCTCCCTGGGGTGTGTGGGGTGGAGGAAGGCTGCCTGCCCCAGCCTCTTCCCCTCTGTGCACTTGCACCCTGCCGGCTCCGACCGCCCTTCGCTCACCACTAAAAATAGGTTTCCCGGCTGAGTGGCAGCGCCGGAGGGCAGAGAGCCCAGATCCCAAACCAGCCCATGTCACCGTGACCAACTGACCCATTTGGCCCTGATTTTTAAGTATTTTTCCCCTCCTCGTTCAACTTCAGCCCAGGCAGCAGCTGAGCTGGGCCAGCTAAGCCCCCCCAGGGGCAGCGAGACCCTGGTGTGGGGCTGTGGTCCCTGACCCACATGGCCTGGCACAGCATGGCTGATGGTCCCACACTGGGCTGGGACATGATGGGTGGCAGCAGGAGTGGCCAAAGCCACCCACATTCCAAGGGCTGCCAGCTCCCATAGCCTCATGCCAACCCTGGGCAGCCTCAGCCCTTCGACCGGGAATTCATGTGATTTATTGTCTCCTTTAGGGAATTTGTGCCCTGGGTCTAGTGAAGCAGCTCAGGAGCCTGAAAGGAGCAGGGAAGGAGCAGGGAACGACAGTGGGACAACAGGGCCAGGGTTTGTCCCAGGGGAGCTGGGGCGCTCCAGAACCTCAACCTGTTCCCTGGAGTGAAGGACAGAGAGTCCTCTCACATTTTCCCTTCTGGCACAAGGACCAAAGCAGGAGCACCCTGGGGCTGTCCTGACCTGTCCCATGTCCCCAGGGCCCAAGGCTCCCCTGCAGCTGGGAATAGGATGGGGCACAGGCACAGAGATGGGGGACACAGAGCTGTCCCCAGGGAGTGCCCTGCAGAGCATGTGGTGGGGCAACTGTCGGTCAGAAATGAAGAAAGACCTTTATTTACAGTAACAAACAAAAAGGACAAAAAAAAATAAAATACCGTGACAGTTCCTTCCCTGTTTCCCCAGCCCTTCATTGGGTATCTGCCACCCCCACCCAGCCAAGATCCCTCCCCCCAGGACGGTGGGATGGGGACAACAACTGGTGGGGGTCATTGGGCACCAACTGAGCCACCCTGCCCCACCAGCCCCGGGACACAGGGGGGTCAGGAACAGCTTGGCACAGCTCCAGGGTCTCCCCAGCCCCAGCTTCGATCCCACTGCAGGGGCTGGTGCAGGAAAAGCTTCTTCCCAGAAGGGGACGGGCTGCCTGTATTGCACTTGGCTGCCGGTCTCAGCACCGAGGGGGGGTTGGCAGGAGGTGTCCCCAGCACGGGACCCCGTGCCTGGCTGGAGGCTCCAGCAGCGCTGGGGGTCCCGGTGGGGAGCAGGGCTCTGTGCAGCACCAGCCCTGGAGGTGTCCTGGGGGGAAGGGGTTGCTCTGTGCCCCCCCATGTCAGCCCCCCGTGCACCTGGAGCACTGTCCTGGGGCAGCCCCGGGCGGTGGCAGCAGGACAGGCTGTCCCCAAGGCCAGGACCTGGGGTGGCACCCGGGGGCTCTGCGGGACGGGCACTCCTGCTCTCGGCTCAGGTGGCAGGAGGTGCTTCACGAACCGGCCCGTGTGGGGAGGAGGTAGAGCATGAGAGGATGCCACCACCCCTGGAGTCCCCGTGGCCCTACGGATTCACCCTTCCCCAGGCAGGATCCAGGTCCGGCTCACCAGCTCCGGGGATGAGGTTTGCAGTGGGGGACGTGCTCTCCTCCTTCACCAGGCTCTGTCCTTCAGCGTTTCCCAGCGGCTCGGGGACCCTCACCTGCTGCGGGGGGTCCTGGGGGGGTCCCAGCGCAGGTCCCCCCGCCGAGCAGCCCCTCAGGAGGAGAAGCAGAGCCCGCAGCACTCCATGCAGATCTCCAGGCAGTCGGCGGACTCGCAGCAGGCGTCGATGATGCCGCAGTCCATGTCGCAGGGCAGGTCGCAGTCCGCGCACTCGCCCGAGTTGCAGCAGCAGCAGCAGATGCAGGAGTCCTCGGAGGTGCAGGAGCCGCAGGTGGCACAGTCCAGAACGATGTTGCAGAGGGTCAGGAACTCGCAGAAGAGGCAGGAGAGGATGCAGTGGACGCAGCAATCTGGGGAGGAACGGCCAGAGAGCGGATGAGGGGATGGGCGTGGATGGGTGAGGCAGCACCCGGCACGGATGGATGCCCGGGGAGCACTGAGAGGGTGGGAATCCTCCCTCAGGAATTAAAGGAAGGGATGGGAAGTAGGTCTGAGGGCCAGGCACTGCCCCAGGGTCCTCCCTCAACACCTAGGGACATGCCCAGGCCTCAAGAGAGACCAATTTTGGAGGACAGGAGATGGCCCCACTCAGCACCCACCCTACAGAGGCTGCCAGGAGGGGAGCTCGGCTGGTTCCCAGCTCCAGGGGTTCCGATGGGCTGAAAGGATGCTGCACGAGAGACCCCAAGGGAAGAAGGGCTGGAAAACGGCTGGAAGGGGATCCCCCGGGGAGAGCTGGTACCTTCTTGGGCCTCAATAGGGATGTGGGAAGAGGCCGACTTGGAGCTGCCCTTGCTCTTCTTGCTGCTCTGGCTGTTGATGGAGTGGTGCGGCTGCAGCTTTCGG